GTTCAGACTATATAACATGAGACAATTTCGAAGATCAAAATATTATTCATTTCCTGGTATAAATAAAATCTACTTCACATAAAAATGATTGCTGAGAGGTTTATTTGATATACATGGAGGTCAATATCCAAACTGATAGACACATAATGCACTCTACAACGAAGAATATAAGCTTACAATTTGAATGCGCTTCACAACTTAACAGTTTGCTAAAGCTCCTTCTTGAGATACTACCCAATAACTTGGCTTTTTATTTCTGCGTCATTCATGTTGCAGTTTTCAGCAAATCCTGGAAAATCACAGTTCGAGGAGCCATTAATTGGGGCAATTATCTTGGAAATAATAAGTTTTTAGGTACTTGCATTGGATCCATTCTTCAACTTTGCAAATGCACAAGGTGTCTCTCCCAAATAATTATCTAGTCTTTCCGCAAGTGTCTGTGTAAGTACAGTTGAGATAATATCCAAAGTGATGGCCACATGATGAACTTTGCCATGAAGAATCTGAATAGGCAGCAGTTTACAATTTGCTCATGCTCTTCGAAATACTACCCAAAGCCTTGGCCTTTTCCCTAAGAAGGTATTTTTGTGTCTTTCCAGTAGAAGTCTTTGGCAAATCCTCAAAAATGACAGTTCGAGGAGTCATATAATGGGGCAAATTATCTCGACAGTACTTGATAAGCTCCTCTTCACTGGCATTGCATCCATCCTTCAACTTCACAAAGGCACAAGGCGTCTCCCCCCAGTGATCATCTGGTCTTGCCACCACAGCTGCCTCAAGAACAGCTGAATGGCCACAAAGCACAGATTCAACTTCAATTGAACTAATATTTTCTCCACCAGAAATGATGACGTCCTTTGAGCGGTCCTTGATTTCTATGTAACCATCAGGGTGTCTCACTCCTAAGTCCCCACTGTGAAACCATCCACCACTGAAAGCCTCTGTTGTTGCTTCAACATTTTTAAGGTATCCATTCATGACAGTGTTACCCCTGAACATAATCTCCCCTATGGTTTTTGCATCAGCTGGTACACTCTTCATGGTAACAGGATCTTTAACATCAAATTCCTCCAACCCAACATGGTGCAACCCCTGCCGAGCCTTGATTTTAGCCTGTGCATCTCGAGGAAGGACATTCCATTCAGGTTTCCAGGTGCAAAACACTCCAGGGCCATAGGTTTCTGTCAACCCATACAACTGAGTCACACTAAATCCTAGTTCTTCCATCTTGAAGAGAACATTTGGAGGTGGTGCTGAGCCACCTGTTGTCATCAATACCTTCCTTGGAAGCGGCTTTTGGTCACTAGCAGGAGCATTTAACATCATGTTTAAAACTGTTGGTGCGCCACCCATGTGTGTAACCTTGTGCTGAGCAATATTGCTAAATATTCCCTTTGCAGTGACATTTCTTAAGCAGATATTTGTGCCACCTTGTGCAGCCATACCCCATGCGAGGCACCATCCATTGCAATGAAACATGGGGACAGTCCATAGATATACAGGCATTGATCCCATTTCACTACTAAGAACTGTAGCCAGAGAATTAAGATAGGCACCTCTATGACTATAAATGACGCCTTTGGGACTCGATGTTGTGCCAGATGTGTAATTAAGCGAGATAGGTTCCCATTCATCTTTTGGCCTTCTGATCTCAAAATCTGCTTTTCCCATGGCTAAAAAACTCTCATATTCCAAGTCTTTTGTTGGTGTAAAATTGGTTTCGCTGCTGATGGGAGCTTGCTGTTCAGGTTCTTGGATCAAGATCAGCTGAGGCAGCTTTGTCCTGGCCTTGGACAGTATTTGAAATGCTCCCTGAGCAATATGGAGAAAGTGGTAATCAACAAAAATGATTTTGGCCTCTGAATGTCTCAGCAGCAATGCCACCATGGCTGAATCAAGACGTATATTAAGTGTACAAAGTATTGCCCCAGCCATTGGAACACCAAAATGCAGCTCATACATAGCTGGGTTATTTGGAGCCAAAGCAGCAACCTGCTCAAAAAACACAAGATGATCATAACTCAAAGCACAAAAAAGGTTAGAGAATATGAACCGCATGGCCTGCTGAGTTGAATGACCAGTAGCCTTTCAGGGATGCACATAAATATAGATAGCTGAAAAAATTTTCAAACGCTGTGAGAATTTAGAAAAGAAACAGCATAACATCTTGAAGCAAACTTATATATCAGACAAATTTCTCAACTTTTGTTCAAAGAATCACTTGCTGGGTGCTAAAATTCTTCCAAGAGAGACAGCAGGGGGAAAGGACGGGGTTTCAGGTTACTCAGAATCTGCTTTTTGCAATCTTTTCAACTCTTAATATGGGTAGAGAAATGCATAAGCCACTAAAACAATTAAAAAGTGTCCTGAAGAATCATAACAATTCTCTCAAGTAAAGTCACATAAAAGGAAAAAGAAATCCAATTTTGCCAAAAGCTACTTTGTAAACAATGCTGCATTATTTCTTAAAAATTGTAAAGCACTGGGAAATAATAATCTCCTAAAGTGAAGCAAAACATGACAAATGGTAAACTAGAAATGGTTAAAATACCAATTTGATCCTTTAACTTTCAGATTTGTGCCAAAATTGTCCCTCAATTTCAGAAAGTACCAAAATTGTCCCTAAACTTTAATTTTTGATACCAAATAATCCTCCAACTTTGAAAATAATATCAATTTATTTTTTAAACTTTAAAAATAAATACTAACTTAATCCTTAAACTTTGATTAGAAATAATTTTCAACTTTGATTATATATCAATCTAATTAAAGTGTTTTTAGCCAAAAAAGATATATCCTATGAAATCCGACATGCCCAGATAAGAATCTGCTATTTTCTAAACAAGAAAAAGTCAAATTCTAATAACAGAAATGTTAAGTGAGAAAATCTCACATCGAATATAAAAATAAGAAACTTGTGGATTAAATAAGGAAAGTCACTTCATTTATTGTCAATTGATTTTAGGTTAACTGCAAGTTTTTTTGTTGAGTTCACATGTATGATTTTATCTTGGAAAACCTTTGTTAGTCCACTTGACAGGACTCAAAGTTGAAAATACCGAACCTGCATTTAAGGGGACTTATTAACCCACGTGATATAGCCCGACATTCATAACAGGCTGCATGTGAGAGCAAAATAAGATGTTTATGGGTTAAATATAAGGAAGGTGATTCCACCTATTGTCAATTAATTTTAGGATTAGGTTAGATTAGTTTTAGGATTAGGTTAGATGCAAGTTTTGTGTTAAATACACATTCACAATTTTCACAAAAAAATATAAAAATAGCAGCAGAAGATGAAAGAGTACTGTACCACATCTCCACGGGAAATCTGGAGCTGCGCAAGAGCAGAAGCGAGCCTGATGCACCTCTCGCGTGTCTCTTTCCAGGTGAACTTGACATCGCCGTAGACGACGGAGACTCTGTCTCGGTAGACAATTCCGGCGCGATCCAGGAAGCTGATAGGAGTGAGAGGGACGTAATTGGCTGAACACTTAACCATTCCATCCAAGTGTGTACCGGCTGGATTGCAAAGCTCCGATGGTAATTCGTCGTCCTGAATGCATCCGCTCCGTGGGATCCCCAACTCCATTGCAAAATCGGCGGAAATAGGAGATACAGTTTCTGGGGTACATAGAAATTCTCGTCATATTTAAGGCAGCCAAATGTGAATGATCTCTTCCGTACTTTAAAGCTGTAACTTATCCAAAAGCATTGATAAGATAAGAAAGACAACACTGTCCTCAAATTCACTCTCAACAAAATATTAGTATGGACACATTTACTCTTTAAAAAAGGGTAAAGGATAAATTATTTTTTTAAGTCATAAATTAATATAAATTAATTTTTTTTAACAAAAAGTATCAAAATTTTGTTTGTTATGTCAATATTTTTTAATGAAAAACATTAAAAAATGAGTGATTTGTATTCATTTATGATTTAGAGGGAGGAGCAAATTATCCATACTTTTTTTTGAAGGGTGAATGTGTTCCTACCGATATTTTTTTAGAGTAGATTTGAGGGTTCTGGTTTTGTGCATTGCAAAAACTTTATATTAAAGTCTTAAATTTATTTTAAATTTTTTATTAAATACTTAAATATTTTAAATATTAAATCTTAAACTTTAAAAATTTAAACCTAAACATATTAAATATTAAATTTTAAGAAATTTAAATTCTAAAACTGTAAAATATTAAATTTAAAATTTTATTTATTTTAATAAAATTTTAAAAATTTAAAAAAAAATTAAAATAAAGACTTAGTATAAAGTTTTGCCAACCTACCCACGTGGCTTGGATAAGTATACTTAACTGCTAAATCATATGAAATCACTAGTAAATGGTATGAAAAGATTTTGAGTATGGATCTGGTGCAATTTTAAAGGGAGTAATGATAAGGAGATGAAGATTTGGGATGAGAAAATTTTTATTTCTTTTTGATATTTAGTTGCGTAACGGAACAACTCTTTCACATCCCTTATCTCACCCTATTTGTATGTCATGTAATTCGAATTCAGAATTTTTTATTTTTAACGGAAAGAGATTACCATTGAATTATTTAAACCATTAACGGTATAAGAGAATTTTGGGATTAATGATGTAGTTTAAGTTATATTATTAAATTAATTTTTATATATAGTATTATGAGTTTTAAATAATAAAAAAATTAATTAGTAAATAATATAAAAAAATATATATTAATATTATAATATAAAATTTATTTTTTAATATTTTAAATAACATAATTTATATCATATTAACAATCTTAAATTTTGATTTTAAATTTTAATTCTATTTGTAATTATATTTTTTAAAATTAGTAAGTACAAGCAAAGTAGCAGTTAGGTAGTGGTTTTGTGTCGTTGACATTAATTAATAAATCAAAAGTGAGACATAATTAATAGCTTTAATCTCGCTAGCTACATCATCTATGGAATTTGAGGAATGTGAGTTGTATATTCCGCAGTCTCGATTTTAAAATATGCTATAGTATATGAATTATAGTTAAAATTTTTTATTGAATTTTTTTAATTTGTACCATAAAAGTATATATTAAAAATAAAAAATAACATTTAATTTATTAATTATCTAATTAAATTTATACCCATGATAATGACATTAAATTTAAAACACTAGGCATGATAATAACTCACATTATGGTTTATAGTTGGAGAAATTCAAAATGTTATTTTTTTAGTTCATTCTCTTTACAATGAAAGGTGGGATGTTTAATGACTTGCTTTTGACAAGAAACGCAGATGTCTCTCCTAAAAGAGGGTACCCCATGGAACGTGGAGGAAGTTTGGTGCCTTTGCACCTATAAACCCCATGATATATGTCATCCAATTAGCTCCCATTTCCCAATCCAGTCGTCGTTTTAGGCACAAGGTCCAAATTTTCTTTAAATCTATTGCATCTTCCGTGTGGTCCATGTGGGGTTGCCTTGTGCTCGATGCTAAGGTCAATTTAATAAATAACACGTTCTGTTCACTTGCATTTCTTCTATTAAAAAAAAAAAAAAATTAAAAAAACATGCCTAAAGAGCGTTTCCAGTGAGAGCATGTGCATTTCTTCTAAAAAAAAAAAAAATAAAGAAACATGCCTAAGGAAGGACAAAGACACAGAAATATTAATTTTTATATAATTTTTTTATATAATTGTACATATTATTTAATAATTAATTTTTTTATTTTATTAAAATTTATAATATTATATATATACATTAATAACTCATTTAATGACTCATAGAGTAAAGGTGTAAAAAAAAATATCAACTTTATAATTTTTTTTTATTTAAGGATATTAATTTTGTTAATTTTTAAGTAAAAATGTAAATTTTTAACATTTTCTATTTAAGGATGTTAACTTTTAATTTTTTCTATTTAAATATGCTAATTTTCAACATTTCGGTTAAAAAATTCATTTGTTACATTAGCATTATTATCCAATTAATCCTTAAATAAAAAAATTTAAAATTTGTATCCTTAAATAGAAAAAGTTGAAAGTTGATATTCTTAAATAAAAAATATTAAAAATCGACGTCTTTATTTAAAAATTAACAAAGTTAACATTCTTAAACAAAAAAAAATTGTAAAATTGACATTTTTTTTTTTGCACCTTTACTCATAACTCATAGCAGTGAAATTTTTATAAAAAAATAAAGTTATTCCAGTGGTAGAGCTAAGAGAACTACAAGGGCCACGCCCCCTAATTGTACAGTAGAATTTTTAGTTTAGTCCATTATGTTTTATTCTTATTATTTTTATTCTCATTATATTATACCATGTTAAACATTTTAAAGTTTTTTTAACTATAGAAGATTAGTTTTGATAATGATGAGAAAGCTGAGAATAATAATAATAATATGAAAGTTGAGGAAAACTAAAAATTAATTAAATTAAAATTGTCCAACATCATCATTTTATAAAGTGTTTATTCATTAATACACTTTTGTGTTTTTTTTCTTCTTCTTCTTTTTTTTTTTTTGTAAGTATATTGTTACTCTATATGCTCATTATTTTCTTTCAATGGATTGCATTTTATAAGCATAGTTAGGTTATAGTTAAAAACTAATAAATTTTATTAAACATAGTTTTTTGTTTAAAATAAAATCTTTTTATTGATTTTTCAATTGACACATAAGCATACTATTTTGTGGTCAAAATTTAGTTTTAACCCCTTTAAAAAATTTTCTAACTCTATTACGGGTTGTCTACGTATCATTATCCCTAAAGAATATAGTCTCTTATCCTCATGTATATACGTATTTAATTATATTCTTGTACTCTTGCATATATAAATATATATGAAAAAGACTATATTAATTTTGGCTCAAAAGATTTGAAATTTTAACTCTAAAAAATGTTATCTTTCATTAATATTATTCCCTTAGTTTCAAAATAATAAAATTTTTAATTTAAAATTTAGTCCAAAATTAATAAAAAGGTAATTTTTTTATTTTAACCTTATTATTATCATTTAACTTTAATTATTCATTCCATCATAAAAAATTCCTTTTTATCTTTTTTTTTTTAAATTATAAATTATTTTTAAATCTTTAATTTAAAAATAAAATAAAAATATCTTCTATTACTTTGGAATAGAACAAGTTTGAAAGATGCAACGGTTAGATTAAATTAAATGTCTTATGTAAGCAGATCATTCATACCAATGATTTAGTGTCAAAATAATCATTGAATAATTAAAAAATAAGCAAATAATATTCTAAAACTTTGTTTGTACCAAAATTAAGAAAATATATTTGCATGCTAACAATCCCTGGGTTTTTACCGATATTAACCTTAAAATAGAGCAAAACAGATTTAGGTAATATTATAGGTCTTTTTGAAATGCAAAAAATTTTATTATTGATGGGTTAAGGGGTACCCAAATTCATTTACATGCTTACCTCTAAAAAACTTATAATTACTATAATGTTACGTAAAATTA